AAAATAATTTGTCAAATTTGCTAATTCCCTCAGTCACACACAGATGTTTTATGACTTTGCGCCTCAGAAGCTTGTTTTACGCTCATTGATCCATAGCTCCTCTAGAGGGCGCTGTGCGAAAGGAAGAACTAACGTAGAAGAAGAGGACTGTGGGCGGCGGCGGGAAACATAAATAGGAGCTCTGTCTTTATATGAGTAAAATACATGTACTTTTATTCTCCGAGGCCGGACTGTAAAAACTACCCAACAAAACATGGTTCAAGAATTTCATGTACTGAGATGTTTTTCCTGTCAAACATTTCAAGTACAGCAGGTAACTGTTTCGCATGTCCCTTTTAGTTCAGAATTAAACCTTTTTTTTCTGTTTTTCTCGCGTTGTAATGTTAGCTGCTAAATCGCAAACGCTTGACATAAATCCCTCAGCCCTTAGTAATCCACTTAACGTTACTTAAAATTAATGTAAGCAGCTTCTCCCCCTCGTATTCAGATTGTCTAAATATTAGGTTTGGATTGACAATGTCGATTAATCTATTTTAATTCAGCTTCATTTTGTTGAACCGAGATCTTTTGGCCCGTGCTGTTTTCAGTTGACGCGAGAACAAACGTTCAATAAATGTTATTTGTATCACGTCACCATCTAATTATCCCAATAAGCCTTTGTTACTTTTGAAAAAATGTACTTGTAATATCCAAATTAATGTCGAATTGAATCAAAAGCTTGTGAATCGGAGTCAAGTCGATTATTTTTCTCCTCTAGGTCAAGAAGAGTAAGACATGGACATGTAAAGTGTGCGGCGAGAAGCAGTCATTGATGAAGGTGAAACTGAAACAAGAAAACTTCTCATGACACCCGTCTTCCAGTGTTGCCAACTTAGCCATTTTGTTGCTAAATTTAGCAACTTTCAGACTACCCTAGCAACTTTCTCTTCCAAAAGCACCTAGCAACAATTTAGCTATTTTTACAATTTATTTGGCAACGTTTGATAAGTGACTCAAATGATAAAAAGGAACATTTACCATTTAAATTACACAAAAAAAAGAAAAACAAAGATGCCTAGTAGTACACACATCACGTGGATTAAGTTAGCTGCTATTTGCAATTCTTTAATTTAATAATAATAGTAATAATATAATTTCGGAATTTAATAATTGTTCATTTATGATACACTTTGTTAGTAGCTTGTACATGCAAGTGTTGATCAGTTGGTACACTATAAGAAAAATATCTAGAAAAATGGAAAAGGTACTAGTAATTTTCCAGGACATTATCAGTTGTCCATTATCTGCTGTAACCCAAAAACACTAAATACAATGCGCAATTAAAAATGCAGGTAAAAAACCTGTGGAAAAATCAATACAGAGAATTCCTTCATATAACATGGTAGATTGTGCCGTTTTACAGACTTTTCTTGGAGTGTAGCACACTAACTAACTGCTAATACTCTGCTTAAAACTACAACTGTTCAGAATGTGTAGTTGTACTTGTTTACTAGCTAATAAAAAAAAACTTAAATTGTAATCGTTCAAAAATGTGTACGTTTTCAAAAATCTAATGTAGGCTGTTTAAAAACAGTTATTTACATTTTTATATTATATTATGCATTTATATTATTTTACAAACAAATCTAAATTAACATATATAAAATGTATTTTTTGCTCAGATTTGATGCAGTGACACAATTTTGCGTCGTGATTACGTAATGACGTCATCGCGCAGTGACGTCACAACGTCATTTAGCAACTTTTAGCAACAAATCAACCTTCCTTTAGCAACTTCCCCTGAAAAATATTTGGCAGCACTCAGGGCTGTACAGTGCGACATATATGTGCGAGCACGTGCTACGAAAAAACTGGTCTGTGCGATTAATAAATTTACCACTGTAGCACGCGTGCGATACAGTTTTGCATGTTCATAACACAGCCGCTTAATAGTGTGAAGTGATTTTGTTGTGCTTGTTTGTGTGTGTGAGATTGATTATACTTGGTAGTTGATATGACGATTTTTGAATGTCTTCACGATCTGCTTTTGAAGAAATATCATTGTATCGTGCTACAGCGCACATTCTATCAGCTGCAGTTCTGGCGCCTCCCTCCGTCTCAATATAATGTACAACGCCACATGCATTCACATCAGTGTTAGCTCAGCGGTAGAGTTACTCTCACGGGACACTGCACTTATGCGCAATCACAAAACTACATTATTTCCATCTGCTTTAAAGCAATACCGGTTAAACATTTAACTGTAGCACCAGTGCTATGTGAAAAAACAGTTAACGTACAGCCCTGCAGCACTGGTAGTCACGGCTGTTTGATGTGTTGCGTGCAGGAGTTTGGTCGAGGCGCTGCAGCTGACTGCAGAAGGCATGTCCAGAAGCTGAACGCTCTGCGAGGACAGATGCTGGAGGTGAACAGTGAACAGCTGCTGTCACAGCGGTGAGCAGACCGTCAGGAGCGCCACAGTCTCTATAAGTTACAAAAAGTCCTTAAAGGTCCCATATTGTCAAAACTGAAATTTCCTGGCTTTTTTCATGATAACTGAGGTCTGGGGGCTTTTTAACTACCATATAAGTTTCAAAACAGTCAGTCCACAGTAAAATGCACACAGCCTGCATAAAGTAGCTGTGATTTTTCACGAACCGTTGTGACTTCCGTAAAAAGTTGACGTCAGAACGACACAGTCACCGCCTTCAGTCACCACC